GTCTCGTGTTTTCAAGCTCCGACTGTGAAACTTGCGTGGGGACCTGTTCCGTTAAGGTTTGCCGTCCATCTATCCATCGGCCAACTCTCCCCCACGCGAGCTTCACACGAGCTACCACCAACCCAGCGCTTCCCAATCCTCACAAGCGCATGCTCAAGGGAACAATGACACAATGTGGAATTTGGGCCAGCGACATGCGCACAGCAATTTAATGAACACTTTAACGGATCTATGCGGCCCACTTCTGCGATGGAGTCGTTTATACATCTTTGACTCCGAATCGTACTCGCCAAATCGCTGCACGATCTGATCGACCACATCGCGCAATCCTGCATCCGACGTCTTATCATGCCAAGCTTGCGAGTCTTTCACACAATTTGTCAGATTTTCTCGGTGGCGTTTTCCCAGACATTTGTTCGTCCACAAGGACCCGTGGTTGATGATTTTGCCGTTGATGTAAATCTCGTAGCCTGGCTCGACCACCACGGAGGCATCGTCTGGACACGGTGTGCGGTCATCAACCACATCGGCGTAGCTTCCCATGCGGACTCCCTCCAACACAAAATCCCGATCTTCTCCAGATATCGGCCCATGACTTCTCTCCAGAAGATCCAGGAGCTGCTCGTGCTGCGGCAAAATCCAATCATTTCTTGGGGCTGGCCGGTTCGGGCGCCGCGATGGAGAAGCAAACGCCGCTGCTCCCTGCTGGGGAGCCTGCGTCCTGAGACACTCCAGAGTAAAATGGCTTCCGCCGCACACCTGGCAGGTGATCGGCATCGCCGAGGCACGCAATGCGCGAAGTGTGCTGGCGGCATGCATGCAATTGCGCAATGCGCAATTGCGCAATGCGCAATGGCACTCTGTCTGGGAGAGATCGTGATCCACCGCCGCTTTACCGTGGAAAATTCCCCCCCCCTCGTCCTCCGGAACCCTGGGGTCCCCCCCCCTTCGAAAATCCCCCCCCGCCCTGCTGAAACCCCCCAACCCCCTCCCCCCACCTTTTCCCTTTCCCCCCCCCCCCCCCCCCTGACCCCTCCCCCCCCCTCCGGAAAACCGAGGGGGGCCACTACTGTTCCGAAACCCCCCCCCTTCCAAAACCGAGGGGGGTCACTACCAGTTCGAACCTCGCCACACGCCCCTCACCGCCGGCAAACGACTCCCAGGTCCCACCACCCTCCGTACCAATCCCCCACCGTAGTCCCCCGCACCAACCGTCCCCACCACCACTGTCCCCACTTTTCCCACCACCGTCCCCATGTCCCCACCAGTGCCCCCACCACTGTCGCACTGTCCCCACTGTTCCCACCACTGTTCCCACCACGGTCCCACTCTCCCCACTTTCCCCACGGTCCCCACCACTGTCCCACTGTCCCCACTCTCCCCACTGTCCCACTGTCCCCGCCGCTGTCCCACTGAGCTGTCCCACTGTTCCCACCACTGTCCCCGCTGTTCCCACCACTGTCCCCACTGTACCCCTGTCCCATTGTCCCACCACCGTCCTCACCACCGACCTCACCACTGTCCCCACCACCACCACCGTCCCCACCACTGTTCCACTGTCCCCACTGTCACCACCACTGTCCCACTGTCCCCACACCACTGTCTCCACCACCACCGTCCCCACCACTGTCCCACTGTCCCCAGTGTCCTCATTGTTCCCACCATTGTCCCCGCTGTCCCCACCAGTGCCCCCACTAGTGTCTCACTGTCCCCGCCATTGTCCCACTCTCTCCATTATCCTCACTGTCCCCACCAATGTCCCACTGTCCCCACTGTTCCCACCACTGTCCCACTGTCCCCGCCGCTGTCCCACAGTGCTGTCCCCACTGTCCCCACTGTCCCCACGGGACACTGTCCGCACTGTCCTACCACCGTCCTCACCACCGCCCTCACCACTGTCCCCACCACTACCGTCCCCACCACTGTCGCACTGTCCCCACTGTCCCCACCACTGTCCCGCTGTCCCGTCACCACTGTCCCCACCACTGTCCCACTGTCCCCACCACTGTCCCACTGTCCCCACACCAGTGTCCCCACCACCACCGTCGTCCTCACCACTGCCCCAGTGTCCCTACCACTGTCCCACTGTCCCGAGAAATGGGAATCGTTTGCCGGCGGCGAGGGGGGGGAGGTTCGAACCGGTACTGACCCCCCCCTTTTAATGATGGACAGGGGGGGGGAAGGGGGGGGAGTTCGAACCGGTAGTGACCCCCACCCCCGGTTTTCTAAAAGGGGTGGGGGGATGGGTTGGGAACCCCCAGTGACCCTTCCCACCCCGGGTTTTCCGCCAGCAGCCGTAGAACACGCTCTTTCCTATCTCGGATCACTCGGAGAGGCACTAACGGCACAAACATACACTTTCGAAGGTCCGCGCGCGGATTTCTTGGAATTGCGCTGACCCCCCCTCCTTGGCGCGCGGAGCGCGCCAGGGGCGCTTTCAGTGGGGTCCAGCGCAGGTTCAAGAAGTCAGCGCGGAGCTCCAGGAGTTGATGTTTACACCGTTTTTTTTCCTCGCCGACTGGCCAAACGCAGCAGCGGCTCCAGCTGGCAGGGCCAAGGACTTGATCCCAAACCGCTGCGTGCGGAGACGTGTCTGCCCCCCCCACAGGAGAGCCCAGAATCGAATCGATAAGCCGGATCGGCGATCGAAATGAATCGGATCGGCGGAAATCGACAGCCGAGTCGGGACAAGTCGAATCGGCGGAAATCGACAGGCTAGTATGCGTAAGAAATCTGACCCCAAATCGGAATCCGAAATCGAATCGAATCGAATCGGAATCGGAATCCATCGAAGTCGAATCGAATCGAATCGGAGGAATCGAAACGCGCCCTGCCCCCATGGCGTCCAGATCTCGCCGCTGCCCGCCCCGCAGCAAGCGCATCGCCCTCTCTTCCTCCGCTTTCGGCCATCTCCTCCGCGTGCCTCGCGGCGCGCCGCCGATCAGGAGGACACACGGATCGGGGCCTAAACAATGCTTGTCGTTTCCGTCCTCATCCTCCTCCTCCTCCTCCTCCTCCTCCTCCTCCTCCTCCTCCCCTCCTCCTCCTCCCCCTCCCCCTCCCCCCTCCCCCTCCTCCCCTCCCCTCCTCCTCCTCCTCCTCCTCCTCCTCCTCCTCCTCCTCCTCCTCCGTCCTCCTCCTCCTCCTCCTCCTCCTCCTCCTCCCCCTCCCCCTTCGCCTCCGACCTCCGACCTCCGCCTCCTACCTCCACCTCCTTGCTTGTGCTTCGTCGTCCTGTACCTTTTCCTCGTTCCGCCGCTGCTGCGAACCGAGGTCGAGACGAGAGCGGCGGCCCACGAGGTCGCCCAAAGACCGAGTGTGGGTCGAGTCCTGGGAGCGGGCGGCCGAACTGCAGGGAGGGCGGGCATGAGCAGCGGGACGCCCTGGGTAGGACCAGGGCGGCTGCGGCCCAAGGCGCGCGCCGCGCCAACGCAGCTACCAGCCGCGCCGCCTCCCCCCCCCCCCTTTTTACACACCTAAGATCCAGGGCCCGCTTCCCTCGGGACCGCCCCCAAGACGGCTTCCGACGGCGTCAGACGGGCCCAAGAGGCTCCCAAGATGCCCCTCCTCCTTCTCTTCCTCCTCCTCCTCCTCCTCGTCCTCCGCCTCCTCCTCCTCCCCCTCCTTCTAATCCTCTTCATCCTCTTCCTCCTCTTCCTCCTCCTCCTTCTCTTTCTCCTCCTCCTGCTCCTCCTCCTCCTCCTCCTCCTCCTCCTCCTCTTCCTCCCCCCACTTCCGGGCCGCACCGCCTCATCTCTCCCTCTCTCCCCTCCTCGAGGCCTGGAGCACCGGGGCCAAGCCCGCCACTTTGAACTGCCGCTGCCGCTGCCTCCTGCTGCAACCCACTGCCGCCCGAGCCTGCCGCCAGGCCTCTCTGGCCAGCAGGATTACGGTGCTGCGCCCGAAAACAACTGCCAAACAACACCGCTAGACCAACAACACTGTTCCTAGATCTGTGCGCTTGCACTTTTTGGGGCCCGTGGAGGTTACCGGGATGAACCGCCAAACCCCAGCGCGCAGCGCCGACCCACCTGCACGACGCGCCAGGTGTTCCAACTTGCAAGCCTTTTCGGCCACGTTGCCGACAAGGCGAGTGACCGTCTCAGGCTCAAGTTTCCCGTGGCTGCCCTAACACGACCCTTGCCTTGCTCATGTCACCGCCCGCTCCACCCCCCTCCCATTCTTCTCGAGCACGCGTCTGCGGCACGGGCGCACCCCTCAGTGAGGGCCAGGATGATGGTTGGGAGGCGGGGGGGGGGCGGAGGATCCACGACCCTCGAAAGGGAAGCGGCGCGCCACAGCGCGAACGCCACCGCTGTCAGGCCGACTGCCCCGCCGCCCACCGCCCCGCGTGCCGCCAGGAGACGACGAGTGGGAGCATGCGAGGATGCCTGGACGGGTTTGAGGATGGTGGCGGAATCCTGGCAGGCGTAGCGAGAGCCCAATGTGATCCCGCCCCCCCAGAGGCCAGGCCCGCTTGGCGGGGGGGATGGCTGCGTCTGACAGACACTCTGGCCACCTGCCACGAAGCTCTGAAGGAGGAACAAAGTATCGGGGAGACGTAGGACTCGGGTTCGGGGGACTCGGGCTGGCCTGGCGGGGCCACCAGTGAAAATGACGAGGCCCGGCCTGAAATGTGACGCGAAGTCCCGCTGCGAACATCTCACGGAAGCCGGACCGGCAAACTCCAGGACCCGCTCGTCCAACAACGTTGGCACACCGGAGCTGCGGCTTACAGGGCAGTTTTTAATACATAGGATTTAAACAAAAACATGGGATCTTAATAGTGATTAATTTATGAATAAAGTTATGCATTATGCATGAACCCATCGTTGTTTTTAATCCCAAATCCCTGCATCTTTCATACGTGACCCGCACGCAGAGCATGTATGAAAAACAGCACTGTGCCCGAGTCCTGCGCTCCCCCGATCGTGGCCCAGACGGTCCCCCGTGCGCGCGCTCCCCGCTTCCCCCCACCCACCGCCGCGCGCCGGCACGGCCTCGAACGCGGGCATGACGGCCTCGTCCCGGAAGGGCCGCGCGCCGACGGCCGCGCGGCAGATCTCCGCGCGCGTGAGCGGCGAGCCGTCGCTCACGATGAGGACCTCGGGCGGGCCGACGGCCCTTTCTCGGGCTGGAGCATGCGCCGTGCGGCGATGGTGGTGGTGTGCTTCTGCTGTGCATCCGTAGCCTGTGGGGCTCTGGCCGAGCAGAGCGGAAGGCACGTGGTGAGCACCCCACCGCTCGCCGGCTTCGAAGGAGAATAATCTCGCTTTGGCGCTTCTCGCTCACTTGTTTGGGCTGACCGACGACCCTTTCGGGCTGGAGCATGCGCCCTACGGCAAGTCCGTGCCGTGCCGACTTCGGCGCTGGCTTCCGGCACAGCGGGGCGCGTTCAACCCTGAACGATCGGCCGCTTCCGCAACGTCAGATCGTTCCACGCCGACCGATCCTTGGTCACCGGCGGCGTTCGATGTGGAACGCCGGCGGCGGGGTCGCCGCCGACACGACGCGAACGCACCGTGCGCGCAGCAGCCGGCAGGGGGGTGGAGGCTCCAAGCCAGGCGTGCCTCTCCCCCCGCGGCCCGAGTGGCGGCGCTCGCAGGCGCTTCCCCCCCGCCCGTCTTTCTGCACACCCCTCTCGCGCAGATCGTGCCCCCCACAGGAACTCCACCTACGCAACCCAAGTGGGGGCGCCTGCATGCGCTCGCCCCCCCGCCCCCCCCCCCCCGCTCCCCCCCCCCCCCCCAGTCGGCACATCACCAGTACAGATCGTGCCCGCATGCGGTCGCTCTGGTTGGCCCCTCCCGCCCACAGACCGCACTGAACTATGGTCAGAGGGTCAACCGTTGGCCCCTTCGCTACTCGCAGTTGCGCAGGGTTGGCTCCTCCGGGAAGTTAATTCGAACGGCCAGCCCCTGGAGCTCACGACTCTTCTGCAATGACCACCTTTTCGTCCCGAGCCGTTTTCTGACGGCACTCGGGGCCCAGAGATGGCAACCGGACGCCCTGAATGGCACTGTTTTTGGTCTGCAGCTGTGGGAACGCCCGCACCGCGGTCGAATGGGCTTCCGTGCCACGGAAGCCACGGACGAATGAGGAGAGGCGGCCGCTGGAGGCCCGCGAGGAATGTGTGGCTCGATCCCGTCGAGTCGCGTCTCTGAAGGTCTCCGCAGATCCTCGCAGGTTCCTGGAGGCCGAGGTTCTCGGAGAGGCCTTCGCTCCAGGAAGGCCAGGAGGCTGGAAACTGAAATGGCTGCATCCGCGATGGCTGGAAAGCTGAGAGCTAGAACGCCCAAAGCTGGAAAGCTGGAGCGCCGAGGTCGGCAGATGCCACTGGCGGCGTACAGAAGGGGAAAATGGGGGAGGGGCGGAGGCTCCTTAGAAGGAGGCTGCTTTGTAGAAGGCGCCGGCCTTCCATCTACAGACAAGGCCCGCGCCTTCTAAGAGGCCGGGGTGCTTTTAAGGAGCTGTTCCCCCCCTCCCCGTGCCGCCCTCTGCGAGTGGCCGGGAACAAACGGCAACAAAGTCGGGCACCGATCCTCCTCGAGCCTCCTCGACCCCCCTGCTCGAGCCTCCTCGAGCCTCCCTCCTCTCCTCTCTCTATGCCTGGCCTGGGCGCGCGGGCGGCCTTGGCCAGGGGGGCCGAGGTCCTTGGTGGGGGCCGCCTCGCGAGAAGAGGCCCTCCGCCTCATGCTGCTGGCATCCTCCTTGTCCTCCTCCACCGGTCTTTCTACTCCCTCTCTGCTCTTTCCTCCTCCTCGTCGCAGCACTTTCTTCTCCTCCTCCTCCTCGTCCCTCCCTCCTGCTCCTGCTCCTCATCCATCTCTTGCTCTCTTCTTCCTCCTCCTACTCCTCCTCCTACTCCTCCTCCTTCCCCTTCTTCTTCTCCTCCTCCTCCTCCTCCTCCTCCTCCTTCATCGTCGTTCTCCTCCTCCTCCTCCTCCTCCTCGACCTCGTCCTCGTCCTCGTCTTCGGCCTTCTCCTCCTCTCGTCCTCCTCTCTTCCTCCTCCTCCTCCTCCTTCGCCCCTCGCATCTTCCTTCTCCCCCTACTCCTCCTCCCCGCTCCCTCACTCCCTTCCCTCCCTCCTCCTCCTGCTGCTCCTCCTCCTCCTCCTCCTCCTCTTTTTTCTCCTCCTCCTCCTCCTCCTCCTCCTCCTCTCCAGGACTGGCCCTCTGAGCCCGCCCATGCCTGGCTCGCGCCAGCAACGCCTTGATCCACCCAGGGGGGATGGTGTGGATGCCGATTGAGGGAAGGACAGGATGTCAGGTACGAGGGGGAGGAGGGGATGGGAAGGCCAGGGTGGGATGGGAGGGCCGGGAGGGGATGGGGGAGCACGAGGAGCGACCATGCCGAATGAGACACGAGCGCGGCGCTGCAGCGAGCTCAGCAGGCAATTGTGGCCTTCGCTGCTGCCAGGATTGAGTACTGAAATGTGGGGGTGGTATCCTCCCGCGCGATGATGAGCATGAGGAGGTGGCGGATGATGCGGAAGTGGAGGGAGGAGCAGCAGGGGGACCAGCTGACCAGCAATTGAAGCAGCGGAGCATGGGGAAGTCGGACCCGATCCACAGCAGCAGGGGAGGAGGGAGGAGAGGAAATGGCAGGCGCACACCGTGGGCACACGCGCCACAGGGCCAGGCAGAAGGGCCGGCCACCGCGTTCGGCACGGCTGGTTCGTGTTGCGACGATTCGCGCGTTGGTTTCTGACACCACGCGGACCGTTCAACCTTGAACGATGGCGGTTAACGCAGGTCGTTCGATAACGGCCGATTCGGTAAGGCCTTGCGACTCAAGCTACAGCATGGTTGTTCGCTTGCGTGCTTTGCAGTGAGGACGGAGAGGAGTGAGCCAGCCACGCGCGAGGGGACGGACGGCCAGGAGCAGGAGACGAGCAGAGACCAGTCCACGAGAGGAGCGACACTCGCAGCACATCGAGGGGGCTGCCCCGACGCTCAAGAAGGGGAGGTCCTCTCTGGAACGCCCCGAGCATCTTCCCAGCAGCAGGGGAGAGCAGACGACGCGGCCTGGCCTCCCCCCGCAGGCCCCGCTCGAGCGCGGCCACCGCCGCCGCGGCAGCGTCGTCGTAGTGCAGCATGTTGATCAAGCCCTCTGGGTTGGCGGACACCTTTCCGACCTCCGGCCAGCGGCGCGGGGCATCGCGCGCGGAAGGCTCTTGCCGCTCTCGGCCTGCATGGGGCCCTCGCTGGGCCCTGGCGCCGCCAAACGACTGGGGATGAAAAACCAGCACTTTGGGGAAGGGTCGGGACTTCGGGTCTCCTGCCTGGAAAAAATAAAAACATGGATCACTGGCATTCCTGCAGGTCCTCCGGCCGAAGCCCTGCATGCCGCCACGCTGGTCCCGGGCAGGCTGTGCTGCCTGGTGTCCTCATCCTCGTCTTGGCTTCGTCTCAGTTTAGCCCTGCCGCATCTCGGTATCGCTTTAAACAATAAAAGCATCGAGTGTCTGGGTTCCTCACCGTTCGCACCGGCCGCTCCTGCCGAAGACCTTCGAGCTGGGAGCGCTCCCCGGCTCTCTCCCCCCCCCTCCGAAAGCCACCCTCTGGCTGCCGCCGGGCAATCACTTCGCCCATTGCCGGCTCATTTCGCTGCTCGTCCTGCTCCCTTCTCCACTTCCTGCTCCTCCTGCTCCTCCTGCTCCTCCTCCTCCTCCTCCTCCTCCTCCTCCTCCTCCTCCTCATCCTGTTACCTCCTCCTCCTCCTCCTCCTCCTCCTCCTCCTCCTCCTCCTCCTCCCCCTGTTCCCTCCTTCCTCTGCCACGCCAAGACGGACAAACGTCTAGGCTCTGTTCGGGGATGGACAGAACCCCCTTTAGCAAAACGTGGTTTAGTGAAAACGACCTCGGGCCCAAATCTGGCGGGCGAAAGCCTGGAAACTGACGGCCACCGCGCCCTCTCGAGAACCGAAAACGGACAATTCACTAATCGACGTGTCACTATTGGGGGTTCTGTCCAGCCCCGATCTGTTATGGGCTGTCACACAAGGCCTTTGCACGCCGCCCCGGCCGGTTCGCGGGCACCTCCTGGCCAACTCCCGGCTGTCGGCCAGACGGCCCGATGCGTCGCAAGGTGCTGGGTAGCTCCACACCCCCCTCCTTCTGCTCCTCGTCCCTCCTCGTCGAGTCCCCCCCGTCCTCTCGGCAGCCCTCTTCTCATTCTACTCCTCTTCCCACTTTCCTGCCCTCTTTCTACCTCCCTCGACCTTTCCCTCCTCCTCCGCTCCTCCTCCTGCTCCTCCTCCTCCTCCTCCCTCCCTCCCTCCCTCCCTCCTCCCTCCTCCTCCCTCCTCCTCCCTCCTCCTCCCTCCTCCCTCGTTTTCCTCCTCGACAGAAGAGAGGAGGGACAAGCGGCGGTCGGGAGAAGGGTGGCCCTGGGCATCGCCGGACTGGAGGCCAGGCAGGCCCTGCAGTCGCGGCGCCCGTGTCCCGAATCTGCCCGCGGAGGAGGATCAAAGTTGTTGGATCTTGTTTTCGGGGCCCCTGAAGTCCTCTGGACGCCTCTCAGGACCTCCGCGGAGACCTCCAGAGACCTCCAGATATTTCCGTTGTCCCGAAAAAAGTCGTGACCCACCCCAAAGTCACACAAAAATGGGGACGGTCGGTTTCTCCCTGTTGGGCCCTTGGAGACCGGTCCTGGGCCTCGGGACGGTAAAACATCCTGTAGGTCAGAAGAGCCCGCCCACCCAGGAAGGGTTCGAGAGCCCCAGGGACCCCGACACGAATCGTGACGTCGGGGGGGAGAACCTGGTACTGTACGGCTTGGAAGGTGTGGCATCCCCCCTGCTCCGCCTCGTCCTCGTCCTCCTCGACCTGCCCCTCGTCCCTCAACCCTCCTCATTCTTCTTCTCCTTCCCTTCCCCCTCACCCCTCCTTCCCACCCTCCTTCACCTCCCCCATCCCTCTCCCATACCTCACTCCCCTCATCCTTACCCTTCCATCCCTCCCCTCTCTCCATTCCTTCTCCCCCTCCCCCATCTGCGGAGGAGATTAACGATGACGAGCCCAAGGAGGAGGAGGAGGAGGAGGAGGAGGAGGAGGAGGAGGAGGAGGAAGACGAGGAGCTAGAGAAGGATAAGGAGGAGGACGAGGAAGAGGAGGATGAGGAGGAGGAGGAGGAGGAGGAGGTTCGGGATATTGGCGCTTCAGCATTCGGAGATGGCCTGCGCATGCCCTGAGGCTGCAAGCGCAAACCTTTGGACGCCCGACATGGGTGCGGAAAAAAGGGTACAATGCCCAACAACAAATGTTGTCCCAAACCAACAACGGCCGCTGTTGGGCAGGCGGCCTTCTGTCTTGAATGGACACAGGCCGCGGCGGCGCGGACAGCGAATCCGGTTCAAAATGAACAGGAACTGATGTTGGGCGTCGTACCCATTCTTTCCGTGCCCATCTCGGGCGTCCAAAAACCTGCGCTTGCTAGGGTGTCCAGGGAGCCCATGTCCACAGAGAGGCTGGCCTGGCCAGACAATTCGGGGGAGGCTCCTCGGCAGCCCCTGCGGCGCGCGGTGGTGCTCCGTGTGCCCAGGCCCCGGCGGGAGGACGCCTCGGGTCCCCCCCGCGGGGCTCGGGCCCGGCACCCCGAGGCGGGGCGGAGGCGAGCGCGGCCTCCGTCCTCTCCGTTCCGCCTCGTCGTCGTCCCCCACGCCCTCTCTCCCCCCTCTCCCCCTCCCCTCTCCCTCCACGCTCCCTCCATGCTCCCTCCCTCTGTTCTCCCCCTCCTCCTCTTCCTCCTCCTCCTCCTCCTCCCTCCCTCCCTCCCTCCCTCCCTCCCTCCCTCCCTCCCTCCTCCCTCCCTCCCTCCCTCCTCTCCTCCTCCTCCTCCTCCTCCTTCTCCTCCTCCTCCTCCTCCTCCTCCTCCTCCTCCTCCTCCTTCTCCTCCTCCCTCTCCCCATCCTCCGACGGCGGTCTGGCGCAACTCCCGGCGCTGTGCACCCCCTCCTCTCCTCTCCCCTCTTGCCTCCCTCGTGCCCTCCCCCCAACAGTCAAAAACCCTAATGAAGACGCGCGGCAAGGACGCAAGACCCTTGGAAGCCGAAGTTGGGATTTTTAGGGCAGCGGACGACGAAAACCCCAAGGACGCAAGAGCGAGGAAGAGCAAGGACGCAAGGGTACCCTGAACAAAATCGCGCGTCCTTATTAGGGTTGTTGACTGTATCCCACTTCTCCCTTCCTCCCCCCGCCACTTTCCCTGGGCGGCACCTGGTGCCGCCCAGGGCACCCAACGCCTGGGTGCCCCGAGGATCCCAGGAGGGCACTCTGGCCTTCTCCTCCCTCTCCTCCTGCTTCTTCTTCTTCTTCTTATCCTCCTCCTCCTCCTCCTCCTCCTCCTCCTCCCCCTCGTCATCCTTGCTTGCTCTCCTTCCTGCTCCCTCTTGGCCTCCTCCTTCTCCTGGTTCTCCTTCTCCTCCTCCCCCTCGCCCTCTTTGATGGCTCTCCCTCCTGCTCTCTCTTGGCCTTGAGTGGACCAGATGTCACTGGACTGCCATGGGCAGGCTGCAGGCGGCCCTCTGAGGGCTCAAAAGGCCTCCCATGAGGCACGCCAATCTTGAAGGGGCCCTGGGACACACAAATAAATACACACAAATAAAAAGATTCCCCATATTTTCCTATATTTTCTGGGTTTTTGTCTTCTCCCCCACTTCCAATATTTTCACATATTTTCCTGGGAATCGAGGATTCATTGTGTCTGTGTGTTTTTTCCCCTCCTGAAAATCTGCCCGTGCTCTGCAAAAGGCATGGCTGCCGTCGCTGACTGCGTGGAGACAGGGCCGTTCCCAAACTTCGCGCCGACACCGGCACGACAAGCGCGAGGGCTGGAGAGCGCTGGCCTGTATCCGGCGCGCCCGTCGTCTGGCGAGCCGGAGGTCCTCCTGCTGCCTTGCCCCCTCCTCTTCTGTGCTCCTCTTTCTCTCCTGACCCCTCCCTCCCTCCTCCACCCTCCTCCCTCCGTTATCCTCCCTCCTTCCTTGCTCCTCACCCTCACCCTCCTCCGCCTTTCCCCTTCACCCCTCCCTCTTCCCCTCTCCCAGCCCTTGCCCCTCCTCCCTCCTTACTTTCCCCATGCCGCCCCTCTACGTTCCCCGTGCAGCTGCGCGGCGGGCCTTCAGCCAGTAGGTGTGCGGCCCCCGGTCTGTGTCGTACAGGCCTGCCACGTGCCCGAGCGGCGGAAGCGCGCGGGGCCGCTCCCTGCAGCGCCGCTTGCCCCCCCCCCCCATGCTCTGATGCCCGCCTCCATCCAGGCCCATCGTGGCTGGACAGCCCGACTCGCCCTGCGCAGCTTCGCAGGCAGCTTCGCGTGAGCAAGCGCTACCACCGCCTCGACAGGTCCGCCACGCGGAGCCGTCTCAGGTGGCGCGCGTTGCCGCCCGCTCCTCGCCCCTCCTGCCCCGAAGCCGGGAACCCAAACTGGTCTCAAGACCCCTCGTGGGCACCACCCTGACTCGGTTCCGAGCCGCCGCGTCCAGCCGTGGTGGCGAGGTCCCCCATGAAGCCCAGAACGTGAAAGGGCTGAGGAGGATGAGGCTCACGAGGAGGAAGGGGAGGAGGGCCAGAATAAACCCAGGATGTACTGATTAACGATGCTGCATTACACCCTTTTGTCCCGAGTCCCCTCGTCGTAAGCCCCTGCAAGCATTCCTTCTCACTTCCCACCAAGCGACGAGCCAACTCAATGAGCCAGCGCGATCATGTGAAACTGCCTCCCAAATAGGCGCATCACATATGCAATTGTGGGACAAGCGAGAAAGCAGCAACGGAAAACAATTCTTACGCCATGCAGCAAACGCCCCGCCGTGTCCTTGAACGACGAGCGCCTGCCATTCAGGCGATCCGTTTCGAAAAGGAGACGCCCCATCCTAGATGTAATGCATGCTCAGAGGCATGTTCGTAAAGTTCGTGGAACTGCCACTCTTGCGCGCCGCCAGGATGCGCCAACTACGAACATCATACACAAGCTCGCATACCGACGCGTAAACACGACTGACTGCGGGGGCCTCGTGAACCGCGGCACCTCCAATCGCGCCTCTCGCGGCAAGGAGTTGAGGCAGAGCCGCCCCGAGGACCGCTACAAGGACGAGAACGGCCCCGACGGTCGGCGCAACACCATCGGCCCTTCAGCGCTGTGCCCGGAACGCTGAACAACGACACCGCCACCACCGGCGCGGGAAGCCAAGAAGAGAGACCTCCCGGTGGTGTAGGCCCCCTGCCCCGCTCGAGACATCTCCAGCCTCCACCGCTCGGGGGGAGGGCATCGTGGACCTCCCTGCGGGAGGTGCGCTCCCCCCCCCACCCCTGATACAAGGACGTGGTGGTGCCGGGTGCCTCCCTCCTCCGATCCGATGGGCGTGGGCAGCGAGGACAGCGACCAGGGGACAGCGTGGCCTGCACGGGCGCTCGCGCAGGAGCACCTCGCGAGCTGGCCCCCTGGCCCGCCCGCCCTGCGGGGTGCTCGATGTCCCAAAGGGGGCACGTCCAGCATGTACAGTCGAGGCGTTGACCTAAGGAACCCCAAATAAGGAACGAGGCCCCTTTTTTTCGTAAGTTAAACTTTGACTTCCCATCGAAAACAGAAGGACAACCTTGGGCAAGGTGTGAAACAATTAAGGAACACCGAGCCCCTCCCAAACGAGAAGGGTTCCTTCTTCAGCGCCCCGGCTGTATTCTACGTGCTCGTACTTTCTCAGACCGGAGGGGCGTTGCCGTGCCGCCTCGGCATCCCCCCGCCTCGAGCCCGAGGGAAGAGCGCTTCGCGCAGGCGCGGCCGTGGACCCCGTGCGGGAGCGGCGGCATCGCAGGGAACGCTGGCACAAAATCTTTTACAGTCGGGGCGTTGACCTAAGGAACCCTAAAATAAGGAACGAGGCCCTTTCTTCCCATAAGTTAAACTTCGATTTCCCATCGAAACCTTAAGCAAAACCAAAGGCGAACTACAAAAACAACTAAGGAACACCGAGCCCCTCCCCAACGAAAGGGTTCCTTCCTCAGCGCCCCGACTGTACTTCTGGACCTCGCCGCCTCGCTCTCGACCACTCTCCTGGGGACAGGCGTCTCGTCCCGAGCAGCTCTTCGACGGCCCTGGGGCCCAACCAACGCCCCCGAGAAGCCGAACGCGGAGACGACCTCCCGTCTTGATTTTTCCAACCGTTGAAGTCTGGGTTCGGGGGTGGAACATCGGCCTCCAGAGCCACTTGGGGATGCGTTCCGGCCAGAACTTCGAAGCAGACCCAGCTGTGGCGACGAGAAGCCTTCTCGGAGCCCCTCCGCCGTCCCCTCCATGAAGAACATCCACACACCTCGAACGCCATCTTTTTTCCTGATGCGTTTCTGGGCGGGCGGGCCCTTCACACTGCCCCTCCAAGGATGGAGCAGGGGTGCAGCGCCGTGTATCTGCTCTCTCTCTCTCTCTTGTCGGCCAAAGCGCGCCCCAGTGTGCCCGCTCAGGCTGCGACTGTGGTTAAACCTGGCGAGCATTCCTCCTCCTCGTCCTCCCCCCTCCTCCTCTTCCGGAATCCACCCCTGGACATTGCCCTCCGATTCTCCCCCCTCGTCCTCGTCCTCACAATACGTTTTTCTCCTTCAATTCCTACCTCCTCCACCTCCTCCTGCGTCGCCTCCTCCCCCTCTACCTCCTCGTGCCCATGCAATTGCCCTTCTCACTCCCAACCCCTCCTCCTCCTCCTCCTCCTCCTCCTCCTCCTCCTCCTCCTCCTCCTCCTCCCCTCCTCCTCCCCCTCCTATTCCTGCTCCTCCGTCTCCTCGTCCTCCCCCTCATTTTCTTGCTCCTCCGCCTCATCGTCCTTCTCCTTATCCCCCTTCCTCCACTCGTCCTCGTACTCGTCGCCCGCCTCCTCCTTTTGCTCCTGACGCTTACGTTGGCGACCATTTCGGTCTGTTGCGACCCGCGACCGTTGTCCTCCTCCTCCTCCTCCTCCTCCTCCCTCAAAGTCGGCCACTGGATATGTCCTCCTTGAGGGCGCTCAGGCCAACATGTAGAGGCGGACCCATGTGGCGATATGGGTCCCCTTAGGAGGCCCGTAGAAGGCCCTCACACAACACAATCCTCCTTCTGCTCCTCCTGATCGTCGTCGACGTCGTCGTCGTCCTCCTCCTCCTCATGGTCCTCCTCGTCCTGCTTGTCCTCCCTCGTCGTCCTCGTCGTCCTCCTGTTCCTCCTCCTCCGTCATCGTCGACGGCAACCGCGGCGTCGACGCCGATGACGCCCGCGACGACGTCGTCAACAACGATATGATGACGAGGATGGCCTCCAGAGGTCCCTGCAGCCTCCCCCCCCAAACAACCCGATCCTCGGGCGACGCCGAGGCCGCCGACGCCGACGGCACCGCCAACGACGACGGCGACGCCGACGCCGCCGCCGTCGACGCCGCCGACGCCGCCGACGCCGCCGACGGCACCGCCAATGACGGCGGCGACGATGGTGGCGCCCTGGCGGCGGGGCGCGCGGCCTGCCAGCCGGAGCACGGAGCCCCCGGCGTCCAAGGCGCAGCGCTCCGCCCCCAGGAGCACCTCCCTCTCGGTCCGGTCTCCTCCTCCTCCTCCTCCTCCTCAACCTCCTCCTCCTCCTCCTCCTCCTTCTCCTCCTCCTTCTCCTCCTCCTCCTCCTCCTCCTCGCTCCCTCCTTCTCTCTCTCTCTCTCACTTGCGCACGGGTCGTCGTCAGCAGCGCGTGGTGGCGTCCTCGTCGTCGGCGTCGTCCGCGTCGGAGTCCGCCTCGCCATCGTCGGCGTCGGAATGCTCGTCGTCGGCGGCATCGGCGTCGAGGAGGACCTCCCCCTGGGCCTGGTCTCTGTCTGTCTGTCTGTCTCTGTCTCTGTATCTGTCTCTTTCTCTCTCTGTCTTTCTGTCTGTCTCTCTGTCTGTCTGTTTGTCTGCCTGCCTGCCTGCCTGTCTGTCTGACTGTCTCTCTGTTTGTCTGTCGGTCTGTCTGCCTGTCTCTCTGTCTCTCTGTTTGTCTGTCTGTCTGACTGTCTACCTGTATGTCTGTCTGCCTGTCAGTCCTTCTGTCTATCTGTCTCTCTTTCTCTCTCTCTAGCCTCGACTCGGGGATCCACCGTGATCCCAGCGCGGCCATCTGAGGTCTCCACCTCCCGAAATGTTTCATCTAAATCCTCGTGGTGAGGCCGGATACCTACCTGTGCTCTGCTTCATCCACGCCGCGCGCCATGGCAAGAGGCCTGCGGCGACATGCGACATCCTCGGCTCCGCCGTCGCGGAGCCCGTGCGCCGCTGAGCAAGCGCCGCATTTCGCCTTGAAGGACGCGTGCAAGGAGACCCCTCGCGCCGAAGGCGCGGGCAGTGTCCCTCGCGCAAACAGCAAGGAAGACCTCACCATGTATGACGGCGAGGCGGGGCGGAGAGCGACTTCTGCACCGTGCAAGTGCCGCTCTTCGAGATCCTGCCTGCTGTTCTACGCCACGATCCGCGCGTTGATACACACCGCCTCTCGCAGTGGCCGTGGGCGCAAATACCCCGCGAAGTCCCAGACGGCGTCCGCGGAAACGTGCCCCTGGATCGCCCCCAGGCGCCCCCGCGCTCACGAGCATCACAAGGCGACGTCCACCATGGTAACAAAGAACAGTCCTGCACATTGCACCATCCAGGACTGTATCAATGTGTATGTAGGTGTATCAACATATATGCTTTTAAATCTAGAGAAATAGTGAGAAAGGGAGAGAGAGAGAGAGAGGGAGAGAGATAGAGAGAGAGAGAGAGAAAGAGAGAGGGAGACTGAGAAATAGAGAGTGAGAGAAGGATAGGGGGAATCTACAAAGATAGCGAGAGAGAGAGAGAGAGAACAATAGAGAAACACACATCGAGAAATATAACAAGAGATAGAGAGAGATATATACAGCGCTATACAGGCGAATCTGCATACATACATATACACACATCTGTTTGTATGGAGAAATGAAGAAGAGAAAGAGAGAGAGAGAGAGAGCAAGAGAGAGAGAGAGAGAGATAACGAGAGAAACGAAATAGAGAACGAGAGAGACAATCAACTTCATATGTTTGTATGTTTGTGTATGTTTGTATGTCTGTCTGTCTGTCTGTATGTATGTATGTATGTTTGTACGTATATATGTATATATATATAGATATATGTGTGAATACATGCGCACGTACTCAATTCCCCATCCAGAGCTTGCCTCTGTAGGGGTCCTAGCGGATTCATATGGTTAGGTTCGGTTTGCCGCCGACTTTCGCTGCACGCCCGGGTGCCCGGGTGCCCGGGGGTGCCTGGGTGTCCGGGTGCCCGGGTGCCCGGGCGTGCCCGGGGGTGCCCGGGTGCCTGGGGGTGCCCTATAGCCCTATAGCCCAATAGCCCAACAGCCCTATAGCCCATATAGCCCAATAGCCCATATAGCGCCCAAGAGCCCATATAGCCCTGTAGCCCTACAACCCTACAAAAATTATGATAGGGTTTTTCTCCGGTATCATATATATATATATATATATATGTGTGAACACTTGCGCACGTACTCAAATTCATGTATAGGTTCCGCAACATTGGCCTAGACAATGTACCTATGACAATACATGTTGTGCAGTGTATGTGGAACACGCCATGCCGTGCAGAGCATGTAGTGCACTCCCTGGTGGTTTTGAACAATTTGGAGTTATTATTTCCACTGCTCGCGCATCCCACCCATCCACCCGCAACTTGTTTTGCAAAACGCATGCGGCGGCGACTGCGATGAGTACTCGGAGTTGGCTGGTGCATCTCTGTGGCCGCACTAGCCCGCGCAGGCGCGCGCGCGCCACGCCCAGCTAGTTTAAAGCGACCGATGCGGCCGCGGTGGCGCTGACCGCTGGGCACTTCGCAGCGGGCACTTCAGTGCGAGTCGGTCGGTGACTTGAGTTGTCGCGGTATCATGGCGGCGTCGACAACGGTAGACACGTTGGTGCTAGTAGAAATAGTTGTGACGACGATGGCGACGATGATGACGGCAAAGCCAATGATAGCGCCGATGCTGATCGCGCCGATGACGATGCCAGTGCCCTCGCGTCGGTGATGCCGGTTTTGGAAGGAGTTCGACCTGTGCGCGCAGCCGATGCGCGTAAGTGGCTCGCATGGTTTCATTTGACAGGGATCATGCCGCCCCCAGCAAGAGCGCAATGGTGTTTGAATGGTTTCGACATGCTGCGCGCAAGGCCTGGTTGATCGAATTTGGTGAGGAGAAAAACATGCGATGCTTCTCAAACTTTTCAAAAGCGCGTGCATTTTGTTTGAAAGCTGATGTTGGACATTCACTTGTTCATTATATGTTTTCGGGACACTCGGTTTTGACATCCTTACGGTCCCCCAGGATTTTGAAGGATTTCACGTCTGCGCTTCGTCCTTTTCTGTGCAAGGGATTCTTGCGACAGCACGAGTGCAAGGGCGTTCGAAATATTTCGAAATGTGCTCGCGAGAGGCACATTTGGCAGCATGTGATGAGCAGGTCGAACAACAGATGGTATTCTTAAGAATTCACAACGGCGCGAACGCATTTTGTAGAATAAAGAATGGCTGCGGAACAATGCTTTTTTTATAGAAAATATGTTTCCGGGACGCTAGATTTTGAAATTGTTAGGACACCCGACGTATTGCAGGATTCCAGCAGGCGCTCGCGACGACGCGTGCGTGTGCACTTCGTTTATTTTCTTTGCAACGGGCCCTTGCCATAATATACTTTCTGATAATCGAGTGCTCGCGCACACTACTTTTTGAGAGGATGAGATGGGGGAGGGGTCGATCATCGACTGCCTGGGATGGCATGAGCTCGTATTTCGATGACAGGTTAGGCTCTGAGTCCGGGGGAAAGAGGGGGATAGATCCTGATACTCTTTGAAAAAGAAAACAATGTGGTGCGACACGCACATTGCAATCAATGTGGTGCGATCTATGTGGTGCAACATGTTTTGTGAAACCTATGTGGGGCAGTAAATGTGGTGAAATGTATGTTTTGCCATCTACGTGGGGCAATCTATGCTGTGAAACCCACTCTGCTGAACTTGAAGTCGTCATCTCCACTGCTCGCGCAAACATCCCACCCACCCACCCGCAACTTGGTTCGCAAAACCTCTTAAGACCGACTACGACGACACCGACGACAACGACTAGGACGACACCGACGACGTCTCCGACGACTTCGACGACGACAACGACGCCGACGCCGACGAAGACGACGACGACGACGACGCCAACGAAGGCGACGACGAGGGAGGAGGGAAGACGACGGCGACAACGACGACGACGACGGCGACGAAATAGGAGGGACGACGACACCGACGACGACGACGACGACACCGACGCCGACGACGACGACGATGACAACGACGACGACGATGACGACGCCGACGACGACGATAACGACGACACCGATGACGACGACGGCGTCAACGACGCCGACGACGACGACGACGACGGCGCCGACGACGACGACGCCGACGACGACGAACACGACAACGACGCTGACGCCGACGCCGACGACGAAGACGACGACGACGTCACCAACGAAGACAACGAGGAAGGAGGGAGGACGACGACGGCGACAACGACGACAACGACGAGGGAGGAGGGAGGACGGCGACGACGCGAACGACGACGAAGGAGGAGGACGGCGACGCCGACGACGACAACGACGAGGGAGGAGGGAAGACGACGACGCGACGACGACGACGACGACGACGGCGACGAAATAGGAGGGACGACGACGAGACGCTGACGACGGACGACGACGACGACGAGGGAGGAGGAGGAAGGACGACCACGGCGACAACGACGACGGAAACGACCACGACGCCAAAGAGGACGACGACGACGAACACGAGGAAAGACAGAGGACGACGTAGGCGACGACGACGACGACGCGGGAGGAGGGAGGACGGCGACGACGACGACGACGACGACGCAAGAGCGCGCGCGCACGCTTTTGTTGAAAATCAGTGTTGCGAAACCTTGTGTTGTTGTAGGTTTTTTGGACACGATTTTGGAATCCTTCCGAAACCGATGGGTTTTGAAGGTTTTCGGCATACGCCCGCGACGACGCGCGCGTTTGCACTTCGTCCCATTTTCTGCAGAGGATTCTCGCGACGGCACACGCGCAAGGGCGTTCGACAGATTTCGACATGCGCGCGCGCGAAGCCCGTTTGGTAGCATTTTGTGAAAAAATGGAAAAACCTATGATTTTCTTAAGATTTCGCAAGAGCTCGCGCGGAAGCTTTTTAGCAAATCAGTGTTGCGAAACCATATGTTTTTGTATGTTTTTTGGAAACTCGATTGCGAAATCCTTCCGGCACCGAAATTTTTTGAAGGATTTCGGCATGCGCGCGCGACGACGCGCGCGTGTGCACTTCGTCTTTTTTTTTGCAAGGGATTCGTGAACAAGTGCCTTGTTAGAACAAAAAATGTCACCGCATAGTGTTTTTTTTACAATGGAACCTCAGGGGGGAACCCGGCCTGCCTGGGATGGTATGATTTCATATTTAGGATGGACGAATGTGCAGAACATCTATGAAATCATA